ACATGCGCGCTCATAGGGACACAACCTAAAAGGAGCATGCAGATATAACAATTGCATCATAACAGCTGGCATGTGCCCCTGAGCAGCAAATCTTCCTTCCCTTTTAAAGCAGTTGAAAGTTGTCTGCCCACAGCCTCAGTCATGGGATGAACTGTTGTCTACATATACAGCAGCAAATGCATCACAGCTGCCAGTTCCCAAGAGGTTGTTTCCACGGTGACCTATTTGAATTAATGGATATAATAAAGAGGTGTGAAAACCTGGAAAGGACTGGAAGTGAAAGAATAAGGATAGGAGGACAATTAGCTCAAGATAGAAATTAAGTTTGTTGTAGAAAACTCTTCAAGTTTAGAATAAGTCTTGCATTTCCCTTGGTTCAGCAAAACACTCAAGTAGAGGAGTAATTCCTATTGCAGTTCCACCTCAGCATGTGCTTCGAGTCCAGTAAAGTCAATGGGGCTTAGCAGTGCTTGTTCCCAGAGTCTCTCACCCCAGTCACATTCACAGTGCTAGTTACCATGGTATCCCTGTCTGGGTGCCAGATGCGCAAGTAAGAAAGTTTGAAAAGACTCAATGCTTTGGATAAATTGCCTAGTTGGCTTAAACTTCCCACCTAAGTGCACACACCCTTCTTGTCATTGCACTGATAGATTTTATAAGAAGGTGAAGTATCTGTTGTCTTCTTGATATAGTAACTATTCAGCAGAGGTGAGGTGGTAAATTTTCCAGCTCTACTATGTAGGCCCTGTCCAACTCAGTTGGTAAAACTGGTTGTATTACAGATATTCAAATTTATCCCTCTGAGTTCAAGAGATTGGCTCGATGCATCCCCAAGAGTAGCCAATCCTGATTCAACACCTGATTTGAGTCAGAGGAGGCCTACAAGTAATTCATCATACATGTTAAAAAATTTCCCTGGAGTGGAGGGAAATATATTCTCAGTTTATCCCTGTGCCCTCAAGAACTGGCTTTTGTCTCTGCCTTTATTTGTAAAGGCTATATATGGAAAGACAGACAAGACACATACATACGTACCTACAATTAACATATCTACTTAAATTATTTCTACAGAGAAAAAAAAACCCAAACTCATCCTTACAAACACTAACATATTTATAGATTTACAGGGGTCATACAATGAGCTCCCTACCAACTTTGGACACCTCTGTTTGAAAGTAGAGAGAGGTTTCATTTCTATATATACTTTGCTATACTGTATTGCTAAAGGAGAACCTAAAAAAATTACACATACTTAAACAAACATATGAAAAAAAATCAAGCAAAATAAGCAAGATTTAGTTATGTTCATCATAACAAGAAATACAATTTATTCATACTACTCTGTCATTCACTTTGGTCAAGTCTGTCCTCCTGCTATTTGTGGTTCTCTGCTTTCAGACAAAGTGCCTAAGGATGGAGTCTCAGGTTCCAAAGGCAAATCTAAGTGCTATACATGGGTTTGCATACTCGAGGCAAAACAAAACGCAAAGGATCAGCCTGTCTGTTTTTACAACTTCTTTAGTCTTCTTCCCTTTTACTTTGTTCAGCTAGTTGGAAGAAGTGAGGCTTTCCTGTACTTATGATTCTCTCTGAACACAGGCACATAGTTCAGAGTGAAATCACACTGCAGATCAGTGCCATGAGTAGAGATGAACAGAGGGCAGGGAGAGGGGGGAGGGAGGGGAAAAAGGAACAGGACAGGACAAGTTTAAGAGCAT